AAGGAAGGAAGGAAGGAAGGAAGGAAGGAAGGAAGGAAGGAAGGAAGGAAGGAAGGAAGGAAGGTGGGAAAGAAAGGAAGGAAAAAAAGAAAAAGAAAGAAAAAAGAAAGAAAGAAAAAGAAATCTTAAAAGTGCACAATATGGACTTTTGCTTGATTTATCTTTGCAAAAAGAAATACTGTTTGGGGCAAAAGGGCATGAGGAACAGCAAACATTTAACCCAACCCAGCCTGTGCTTATGGGGTTGAGAGTTAAAGCTATTCTGTAAACAATATTTGAACAGATATATTTTTTTTTGCCCAGCTTTGAAAGCTGGCTCTTGCCAAGCACAAAATACAATTCAGCCCCCAGGCGCGTCTATTCAAATCCCGGAATTCTCAGCCATGGCCGTGACAGGGAATTCTGGGAGTTGACAATTGACACCTCTGACAGCTGCCCTAAATGGTGAAGACTCCCGTCATCTTCCCCTCCCACCACCAATATTATTTTCCCTCGCTCTACCTCGACATATCTCTTTTCACCAGGCAAGATCCAAAAGGACATACTCCATTTCCCTTACCATCCCCTCCAGGTTCTTTCGCATGTTCTGATTTCCCAAAAAAGGTTGATATAAACAATTAGATGCTTGAAAAAAGCCATGTTCTTTGTTGTTCTTGTGGGTTTGTTTTGGAGGGAAAGGAAGTGTGTGGTGGGGGGGGCCGGGGGGGGGCAGTAAATGCACGGTGAGTCCCACCCACTCAGTGGCTATGAGAAAATATGGATGGCTTGCGTGGCTGGTGCGTGGCAGGCAGGGCACTGGGGCTCAACCCGGCCACAGATGCGCATGGCACACTCCATGCAGAAGAGGTTATGGCCACAGGGCACGAGGGCAGCAATCACTTCGCTCTCAAAGCACACCATGCACTCGCGGGAATTCTTGTGAGCCCGTTCTGAACTGTTAGAATCAGTAGGCGAGCCAGAAGTGGCGGAGATGCTGCTTGGTAACGGGGAAGAGGATGAGTAGCCGGTGCTGTTGGAGAAGGATGACATGGAGCCCTGGGCCGGCAGCCAGGACAGGGCACTGACTGGATCGCTCTGGATGCGCCGGGCCAAAGGATGCTCCAGAGCCATGCCAGGGTCTGGAAGGGTGGGTGAATGCCGAGGTGTGGCGGAGGTGCTGAGCGTGCTGTTGCGTCTCTGAGCATTGCCGTTCACTGAGGAGGTGGAAGAACTGCTGAAGGCCTGGAGGGAATTGCTGGGAGCCTCGAAGGGGGACCAGATGGTGGTTGGCGTGGTGAGATCCAAGGCCAAGAAGTCAAACCCAAAATCACCGTCATCAGAGCCCAGTCCGGGAGCTGGAGGTTCGCTGAATGAGTAACTGCTGTTGTTGGAAACAAAGGAGCCTGTGGGGGGGCTTTCAACCACATGGCCCCCAAAGTAAGGCTCGGTGGCCGAGGTAGCACTACCCGAGGAACCGAGGTTATCGTTACGTAAACTGGGCACAGTCCGCCGGGTAGGGTGAGGTGCTTTTGACCACAGGCTGGACGGATTGCCACCCATCAGGTCGAGGCAAACGTCAGTGCCGTTGGAATGAAAGTCGTTGTTGATGTTGATGTCGATGAAGGAGCCCGTCCTCATGGTGATGTGAGCCTCGATCTCCTCACGCGCCCGGTCCACATTCTCTGGCATACCCGTCACTTCAAACACCGGCTCCTTGTCCCGACTTGGGGTCACGATGTAGGTGTGTGTCTGTTGCTGGATGCGCTTGATGGTCGCTCCCTTTGGGCCCACCACTAGCCCGACCACACGGTAAGGAACCCGTACTTGGATGGTAGTCTGGCCGGGGAGGTTCGGAGGCGCCAGGACTGAGCCAGCCATGCCGTTAACTTTGTTGCGAGTGGCCCGGATCACGGAGAAGTGCTCGGCAGCTGAAAGGATTTCTCGCTTGGCCATCTCCACATCTTCTTTCCGCCCCGTTACAATAAAAATGGGCTCCTCTCCTCTCACTGGTGTTTTGATATAAGTGTTAGTTTTCGCTCTCAGGGCTTTGATCTTGCATCCTGAAAGACAGAGATATCGAAGACGAGAAGAACAAAAGGGACATGTCAGCTAATGGAGAACTCTATTTATAAATTTTAGTCTTGGTTAGAAATGTAGCGCTGCATAAGAAATTGCGCTGTCAAAAAACAGCTTTCCATAACAACAAGTAGAATTTTTATGACTATCCCAACCTGGGCCTTTCAGATGCAATGCACCCTACCTCCCAGAATTGCCTCCAAATCCTGGAGGCCACATTTTCCCCTGCCCCAAAGCACTCCATCTATAGTTCTCAACTTACAACCGTTTTTTTCACACTTAACGATTGTTGAAGCATTCCCGTGGTCACATGATCAAAATCTGAATGCTTGGCAACTGGCATGTATTTATGAGGATTGCTCTGTGCCAGGGTCATGTAAATCACCTTTTGCACCTTCTGACAAGCAAAGTCAATGGGGAAGTCACTTAGCAATTGTGTTATTAACAACTGCAGTGACTCATTTAAGAACTGTGGCAAGAAAGGTTATGAAGTGGGACAAAACTCACAACTATCTCGCTAAATAACATAAATTCTGGGCTTAATTGTGCTCATAAGTCAACGACTACCTGTACTGTAATCCTCTGGAAGAGGTGGAACTACCTTTTCTCCTCTTACTATTTTAAATAACTGGACAATTTAAGGGCAAAATGCAGATTTTAAAGCACCTCTTAAGAACCCCAAATTTCATCCCCTCCCTTTCTCCCCCCAACCCTTTCCATAGAGAGGGGAGAATCAAGAGGCAAAATGCTCCATTTCCTCTTATGGTAGTGCTTCCAATGTTGGCAAATTTGAGATTTGTGGACCCCCAACTTCCAGAATTCCCCAGCCAACATGGGGATTTGTGACTTGTCACAAGCCGGCTGGGAAAGTTGCAAATGGCAATTACAAGACCCTGGGATGCTACAACGATCGTAAATACATGCCTGTTGCCAAAACCCTACAGTTTGGTCATATGACTATAGGTATACTACAGTGGTCATAAGTGCGATCACTAGTTGTAAGTCACTTCTTTCAGCGCTGTCGTAACTTCAAATGGTCACTCAAGGAATGACTGTAAGCTGTGGACTACCTTTACTGGTATGGACTAGAAACTTGTTCTATTTTAATAGAAGAGGAGATCCTTAGGGAAGGGAAGCAAGGCTTACACACAATAGTTCAGCAGCGTGTAGAAATGTACGTGTTCCATCCCTAAAGAAAGTAGATTTTCGTTTGCTTTAAAGGTCATTTTTTTTTTAAAAAAAAACCTAGATGGTTCAAGAACGCATCTCAACTCCCTCTCTCCCTAGAATAAAGACATGGGCTATTTTTATAGAATTTATCTTTTTTTGTTGTCGTCCTCCTCCTATCTTTTCGGAGTTTTTTTAATCTTTAAATTCTTTTTGAGCATTTGGCATCCAAAAGGAACGGAGCTGGATTTTACAGCTGTACAACCCAGGCAAGTTGGAGGAGCTATTTCAAGAAAAACCCAGGGCTACTTCCCAGAGATCAGAACAAGTAGTTTGATGCCTCAGAAATTTTTGGAAGAGGTTAGAATAGAAAATAAGCCCTTCGCCCTGTTTTGCTGCTGGTCTTTGGGATCTGGTATAGAACAATCCATTTAGTGACGGATTGACATTGCAACAGCACTGAAAAAAGTGACTTACAGCCAGCTCTTGTACTTTATAACTGTTGCAGCATCCACAGAGTCATATGATCAAAAATTGGGTGCCTGGCAACTGACCAGCATTTATAACAGTTGTAGCATCCTGAGTTCAGGTGATCATCCTTTGTGATTTTCCAAAGCTGGCTTCTGTCAGACAAAGTCAGTGTGGGATCCTGGATTCGCTTAACAACTGTTTGATTCACGTAACAACTGTGGCCAAAGTCTGTAAAATCGAGAGTGGCTCCCTTAACAGGCCATCTAGCTTAGCAACAGAAATTCTGTTTCCAAATGCGGTCGCAATTTGAGGACTACCTGTATTGCTCCTGTACACAGAAGCTCCATGTTAACCGTTAATATGATGAATATTTATTGCTCATAAATAACACGAAGGCCTCCACATAAAATGCTGAGCCTCCCAATGTTAATTTATTCTAAAAAGCACTGCTGACACAAAAGAGGATGCACAGAGGGCACTTTTCGGCCATTCAGATTGGGAAAAACACTTTTGCAATCACTAATGTGACCAAAAGCCTCTTTTATCCTCATGCTCTGCTTTCACAAAGCAAACTGGAACATTTCCCCATCCTGAGGGGTTAAGATTCTCCTGTGGAAAACAAAGATCATCAGATAGCACATGGACGAGCCACAGTTACTCAGATAATTGGTCTGGCCTCCTCTTGATATTATCCAGGTTGGCAACCGCTGTGCCGTTGGGTCAAAGGAGTGCCAAACGTTATTGAAGAGAATTTATACACATAGTCCTCGACATTTTAGGCACAATGGAGCCTAAAACGTCCATCACTATGCAGTTGCTAAAATTTTATGGTCATTTTATGACATTTTTTGCCTCAGTTAAGTGAATCCTTGCCATTGTTAGGTGAATCATGAGGTCGTTAAGTGAATTTGGCTTCCCCCCCATTGACTTGGCTTATCGGAAACCAGCTGGGAAGGTTACAAAAGTGACCCAGGACAGTGAAACTGTCGTAAACACAGGCCAGTTGTCAGGCGCCTGAAAGCGTGTGGCCATGGGGATGCTGTAATGGTCATAAGTGTGAAAAACGGTCTCAAGTCACTTTTTTCAGTACCGATGTAACTTTGAACGGTCACTAAATGAATGGTTGTAAATCGAGGACTACTGAGATGCTACCAAATTCACTTGCAGTGACTCCTGGCAGCTTACAAGGATTTACGCGCACTCTGCAAACTCCTCCATTTTATCTGCCCCTAATCCATTATTCCATTATTATAAGGTGCTTGATATATTTACTAATCTTATACCTAGTTTCTATTTATTTTCTTCTCTTCAGAATCAATGACCTAATATTTTACAGGGGTGAATCCACTGTGATCTTTGCTGTCTACATCCCAAAAAACTACACACACAAAAAAAGGTATGCCTGAAAAAAAATGTGCGCAATACTAAATTTTTCGGGAGTCTGAGAAAATCGGACAGAGGAAGATTATGACTGAATATGTATAACGCTGATCAGGACAGGAAATTGCTGCCCTTCCTATCACTATTTTTAATAGATGATCCTGAGGACAATCTTATGAGAAAGGAAATTTGTTCTTACAAATGTTGCAGGAGGGAAAAGAAAAAAAAAACCTGGTTTTTTTTTAAAAAAGAACACAATTTATGGAAAGCATTGCTGCAAAACCTTTTCGCACATGGTGCCTTGAATTACCATGTGCGAATAGGTGGCAATATAAATTTCCAAATAAACAAATAAATAGAACTTAATTGTCCAGTTTCCTTTCTTTTTTTTCAGTCTGAGGTACTCAAGCTCAAGTTCTGAGGAGGATTTCACAGGTACTTAACAGATAATCAGAGTTGGAAGGGACCTTGTAGGTCATCTAGTCCAGCTCCCTGCCCAGGTGGGAGACCCTACACCATTTCTGACAAATGGCAGTCCAATCTCTTCTTGAAGGTCTCAAGTGATGGCGCTCGCACAACTTCCAAAGGCAACTTCTGTTCCATTGGTTGATTGTTCTCACTGTCAGAAAGTTTCTCCTTATTTCCAGGTTGAATCTCTCCTTGTTCAGTTTCCATCCATTATTCCTTGTCTGGCCTTCGGGTGCTTTAGAAAATAGCTTCACCCCTTCCTCCTCTCTGTGGCAGCCCAACAAATATTGGAAGACTGCTATCATGTCTCCCCTGGTCCTTCTCTTCACCAGACCAGCCAGGCCCAGTTCCTGTAACCGTTGTTCATACATTTTAGTCTCCAGTCCCCTAATCATCCTGGTTGCTCTTCTCTGTACTTTTTCTAGAGTCTCAACATCTTTTTTATAATGTGACCAAAACTGGATGCAGGACTCCAGGTGTGGTCTTACTAAGGCTTTATAGAGTGGTATTAGTACCTCAATTGATCTTGATTGTACCCCTCTGTTAATACAATTTCCTATACCAGGCGTGTCAAACTACCTACCTACCGGGGCTCGGATCTGGCCCATGGGGTGCTTAGATGGGGCCCATGGGACTGCCCTAGACACAGCAAAGGACTGGCCCATGGGGCCTCTGCCAGCAGAAATGGAGTTTGGGAGGGTGAGCTCTGTTTTTTGCTGCAACAGCCTCCTGTTACCCTCTACCAGAGAACATGGAGCTAGGGGAGGCCTCAGAGCACCCACAGCTCCGTTTTCACTGGCAAAGGGCAGCAGGAGGCTGTCACAGCTGAAAATGGAGCTCTGGAGCCCATTTTTGCTGGCAAAGCACTTGGGCCATCACAGATGCCCCCGACACAAGTGATGTCAACGTGGCCACGCCCCACCCCGGCCCCCTGAGGCCAAACAGAACTCTGATGTGGCCCTCAATGAAATCAAGTCTCACACCCCTATCCTATACCGGGGACATGGGTGGAAGGATTCTCTGTGCAGTGCCTTGACAGGCATGGAGATAGTCCTCAACTTACATACAGTGGCCATTCAAAGGTGAAACCAGGCTCAATAGCAGTAACTGTGAGAGGGATCTTGGAGTCTTAGTGGACAACCAGCTAAATATGAGCCAGCAGTGTGCAGCAGCAGCCCCAAAAGCTAATGCAATCCTAAGTTGTATTAACAGAGGGATACAATCAAGACCAAGGGAGGTACTAATGCCACTCTATAAAGCCTTAGTAAGACCACACCTAGAGTACTGCATCCAGTTTTGGTCACCACATTATAAAAAAGATGTTGAGGCTCTAGAAAAAGTACAGAGAAGAGCAACCAGGATGATTAGGGGACTGGAGACTAAAACATATGAAGAACCGTTACAGGAACTGGGCCTGGCTAGTTTAGTGAAGACAAGGACCAGGGGAGACATGATAGCAGTCTTCCAATATTTGAGGGGCTGCCACAGAGAGGAAGGG